ACCACCGGAAAAAATGTCCTTAAAAAGCCTTATGATTTCAACCATCAATACTCTTCCTAATTGTGAATGAAAACCTGTATTTTTATTTTTATTTTTTATTTTTTTTGGCTCACTAGAGTAATTTTTTATGGTTTTTTTAGAATTGTGAGTGTGTAAACTACTTTAATAATTAATAGAAATTTATTTTGATAATTGCATTAGGAAATAAGGGAGGATATAAAATAATTTTCAAATTAATACAAAAGGAATTATTAATAGTAAATAGTCTCACAAAAATAACAAAGAAAAAAAATTAATACGATAAAAATAAATAAATAAATAAATAAAAATATAGAATACACCTAAGAATGGAATATAGGCTTCGCCAAAATCTCACATGCGGTGATCGTAACGCGACCTCCAGCTTTTAAGAGGCCCACCGTTCCCCCTTCGCTTCGGTGCAGGGCTCCTCCCCGGTTTCCGCTGCCTCCCCGCCGCCGGTGAGCATGGAGGTCCGCCGGCGGTTCCAACCGCGTGCCCCCGCCGCCTCACCCTCCCACGGCGGATTAGCCCGTCGCCCATCGGCGGCACCGGCCGCTCGGGTACAGGCGTCTGACGCCTTACCTCTCCCGATCCGGCACACCAACCTTCTCTTTTCCGCCTTCTTCGTTGGCTCCCTCGTCTTCCTCATGCGGCGGTGGCGCGAGAAGGTCCGCTCCTCCATTCCGCTTCACCTCCTCGGCCTCTCTGAGATCTTCGCCATCGTCGGCCTCATCGCCTCCCTCATCTACCTCCTTAGTTTCTTCGGCATCGCCTTCGTCCAGTCCGTCGTCTCCTCCCACGATGAGGAGGACGACTTCCTTCTCTCCGGCGCCGCCCCCGCCGCTCCCGTTTCCTCGCCCCCTCCCGCCGCCATTTGCCCACTCCTCTGCACCGACGCCGCCGCGCCCGCCCCCCAGAAGAATCCGAATATCACCGCCGATGACGAGGAGATCATCTCCTCCGTGGTCGCGGGGAAGACCCCATCATATGCCTTAGAATCCAGGCTCGGGGATTGCAGGAGAGCCGCCGGTATCCGGCGGGAGGCCCTGAAGAGGATCACCGGAAGGGCCTTTGAGGGGTTGCCGCTGGACGGGTTCGACTACGCGTCGATCTTGGGTCAATGCTGCGAGCTCCCTGTGGGCTACGTTCAACTGCCGGTTGGGATCGCTGGGCCGCTGCTGCTCGACGGAAGTCAACACTACGTACCGATGGCGACCACGGAGGGATGTCTTGTGGCTAGCACCAACAGGGGTTGCAAGGCTATCGCTGAATCTGGAGGGGCCACGAGCGTGGTGCTGAGGGATGGCATGACGAGGGCACCGGCTGTGAGGTTTCCGTCGGCCAGGAGGGCTGCTGACCTCAAGGCCTTCCTGGAGGAGCCGAACAATTTCGAGACCATCGCCTTGGTGTTCAACAGGTATTTTCTTCTTAGTTGCATTGTGTTCCTATTTAAATAGGCCAAGATGGTGATAAGGGCTTTTAGAGAACTCTTCTGCATCAGAATCTAGCTTATTTGAATTGCCCATGAATTGCTTTGATTAAAGTTTATATCTTGCTTTACAATTAAGTTTTCATTGGCCATGAAAGTGTTGATTTCGGCTGGTTGATTGTATATATTTGGAACTCTGGCGACGAGCTTGTTGTGGATATATCTTGTTCTCTAAAAAAAAAATGTGACTTTTTCTCTAACAAATTTCGTGTTTGTTGATCTCTTGCGCTTGTAATGTCGAATCTCTTTGTGTTGTGATTTTATTTTTTGTGTACAATTCTTGTCATCGATGAGTGCATCTCAAGGCAAACAGTTTGTTGTTTTCCTACTCTGGTCAAAGTTGTGAATGGACCAACCATTTCCTTTTCCTGCTTTGTTATCCAGGCCACAATCATTAATTCCGTTACGGTATTGTGTTTGACTTATTTGTATCTTTTGTAGTATATGGAAATTATATCTAGTTGAATTGCAAAATTTTCCACAGGTCCAGCAGATTTGCCCGGCTACAGGGAATCCATTGTGCGCTCGCTGGGAGAAACCTCTACATGAGATTCAGTTGCAGCACGGGAGATGCGATGGGGATGAACATGGTTTCCAAAGGTGTACAGAATGTCTTGGACTACCTTGAGAAGGACTTCGACGATATGGACATAATCAGTATCTCAGGTTAGATTCTTTGTTCTGCCTGAGATCAACTAAACTTGCTTGCTCGATATGTTTTCTCATTGAAGTATCAACGAACGAAGCCCCCAACAATGTTCTTATTTCAGGATACGAACCATGATAATTTCTTGTAAACAGTTAATCTGTTTTGTTTTTTCCAGGTTTTGACCACTAGTATTCTTTTTTCACAGCTATATGTTCCTTTTCTTTTGGCCATTTTTCTGTGGTGAAATGTACGGTTCCATCATGCTTTGTCAACTGATGTCCATTCCTTCCTTGATCAAGGAAAACCACTCAGTAGTTGCTGTAATAGCTGAGCCATATGTGACATGCAGAATTGACTATGTACTGTCATCATCGTCGTAGAGTCTGTGCATGTTTCATGTTTTGAAGCTTAGTTGTTGACTTGCCAGTAGTTAATTCAGAGATTATTTCTCACATGATTTTTTTCATGGTAATCTACTGAGATCACGTGAATATTATTGTGCAATCAGTTGACACCATCGTTATATCATGTGTAACATTAGGATAAGATGTCAAATTTGTATGCTTGTGACTTTGTGTTTCATTACACTTCTCTTGCCACTGATCAGGTAATTTCTGCTCCGACAAGAAGCCAGCTGCTGTCAATTGGATTGAAGGACGGGGCAAATCAGTGGTTTGTGAGGCAGTCATCAAGGAAGCGGTGGTAAAGAAAGTTTTGAAGACCAATATACCTGCACTTGTGGAACTCAACATGATCAAGAACCTTGCTGGCTCTGCGGTTGCTGGATCTCTTGGAGGGTTCAATGCTCATGCCAGCAACATAGTGTCTGCCATCTACATTGCCACTGGCCAAGATCCAGCTCAGAATGTGGAGAGTTCTCATTGTATCACCATGATGGAAGCTGTCAATGATGGAAAGGATCTTCACGTCTCTGTGACCATGCCATCCATTGAGGTAATACTTGTATATCAATCTAGGTGGTTGATTTACTAGATCTATCTTCTCTATCTGTTGCTATTTACTTATAGACCATGCATCGTGCTAATTTTTCTACTTTCTCGTATCTCTGAATTCGTATAATAATGCCAACTTTTTGTCTGTGATGAATGCTGACATCATCACCCAAGTTACATATGTCAATCCTAACATATGCATTCCCGGTTGCCCTTTTCGCTCCTTTTATCTTGGTTTGGTAGCACACATGAATTTCATGCATCACATTTCCTGTTTTGTACCATCTTCTCCATCATAACTTTTTTTTGGAGACCCTTTTCTTTTTTGATACCATACTGAATTACTTGGTCTTGTTGTTTACTATGAGGTGGTAATCAAGTAGGCTCGATTACGAGAAATTTGGAATCTTGCTATGTTGTTAATGGATGTTGTTGACTATCTGTTTGATTTTTGTCTCTGACTTGAACAAAAATTGGCCAAGCCAAATAATTCACCTTTAACAGTACAAATACAAATTAAAGTGCAGCTGTGGGGAGATTATTTTATTTTCTCTTTAACACCATTAGTACGTTTGATAGACCATTCCATCTTTCTGACAGCTACTTGCATTCCACAGACTGGTTGGAATCATTTCTTCGTTTGTATAATTCATGTACCATTGCAATGAGGAGACAGGTCCATCCCTGATTACAATAACACCACAAGTCCACTTGGCAAATTACTATTACAACTACTATTATTACAGTAACAGCTAGAGTGCTGTGGTGTCCGCCTCACGACTCCTTGACACAATCATCCTTGTCATCTTTTTTTCATCTTTGCTGTTGTGCTGAATGACAAATGACCTATTTCAAGGGATAAGTTTGTGCATCATGTGCAAAAGAAGCTGACATTGCTTTCTTTGTCATACAGGTTGGCACAGTTGGTGGTGGGACTCAGCTGGCCTCCCAGTCTGCCTGCTTGGACCTACTTGGTGTGAAGGGTGCAAGCTTGGACACTCCTGGGGCAAACGCGAGACGCCTGGCGTCCGTCGTGGCAGGCGCTGTTCTAGCGGGGGAGCTCTCCCTCCTCTCGGCTCTTGCAGCTGGACAGCTCGTGAAGAGTCACATGAAATACAACAGATCCACCAAAGATTTATCTAAGTCTGCCTCCTAAATAAAACTCAAAAAGTACCTCAAATGGCTTCCCTGATATCGAACAAACGATCTGAGGTACCTCATGAGAAGAAGCTGCATTGGATGTTTATCTCTTTGGTTTCCTTGTGGGTTTTTCTCCTACTTCTTGTAATATGACCTCTTCAGGCTTGTGGTGTGTTTACCATGTTCTTATTCAAGGTTCTATTATTCATGAAGGTTCTATTATTCATGTTCTTCCTTCTTTTGGTGTGTTTACCATATTATTCAAGATTCTATCAATTCAGGTGATTCTTTCTTTTTTAGTTGCTGAATGTTGGGTTGGATGGCTGTGGAAACCCTAAAGATCATGGTGTTGACTTACTTAAGTGTCTTTAGTCATTTTATCATTACTGATTAAACTAATTAATCCAAATCCAATTTCTATCGTTTCGATATCTAAAATCGTTTTGTTACTACTTGTCTTCCATAAGTACAAATATTATGTTTGCATTGTTCGAGATGGATGGGAAAATATATATAAAATATGGTCAACAAATAATTTTAGAAAAATAATTATTCAAGAAAAATTTAGTTATATGATTTTTTAAAAAAAGAAAATGGGATTTTGAGGGACTACCTAAACTTTTCAGGGGCGGTATAGTCATTTGGAAACCTTACTGAATCACTCCTGAGAAACATCAGGGGCGACGTGGCCTGTCGGAAACCATAACTCGTGGGAGGCGACATCACCCCTGACATGTTCCAGGGCGATGATTCGGTCAAGCCCTCAATTAGCGGCCGTCGAGATCAGAATCGCCGACCGCAGGCAGGAGATCAAGAACCCATTTTGAACCCTGGGAATCGATCGCCGGGATCGCTTGGGTGTTTTGGGGGAAGGAGGAGGAGGGGATGGCGAGCTGGAGAAGAAGCTTAGGGAACCTGAGGACGTTCGTAGGGAACGCAACAGGAGGCCTCCGAGGGGGAGCCAACCTCGCCTCGTGGGTCGTGGCGGGCACCTTGGCGTACTTCCTGTGGGTCAAGCCGGCTCAAGATCTCAAGAGGGAGCAGGAGGTAATTCCCATCTTAATTCGTTTATCTCTGTTTCGTATCTGGGATTTTGGTGTTCTCCAACGATTGAGACGGAAAAGTTAGTAATTCGAGAGGAAGCATGCATTCTAGGTTTCAAATGCCTTATTAGAACACACCAAAACCTTTTCCTTATCCTTCTTCTTTAGATGCGATCGTATTGTAGCCCCAATTAGCAATCCGCAAGCGGAGATGGATACACTCATGCATTTTTGTGCCTCTTTCCATTGAAACTCCGAGGAACAGGCATTTTCTTAGTTGGTGTGATAGATACCAATAGTGCTGTCACTGATAACTTCTTTATGACTGATCTAAGATTGTTTCTCCAGTGAGAGTATAGCAGCATATGTTGTTAATTCTTCCTATGCAGCTTAGAAGCCATTGAGTTACTACTTATTCGGCACGATAACTTGCATCTGACAGTGTTGTGTTCTTAAATCTGCATCACCTATTCCAATCAAATAGGTCATAGTTACCAAAACGTTAAGCAACCAGCCATTAGTAGAATTTAGACATCTCTTGTCCGATCACATATATGATCGAGGAAATGGTTAAACCATGATTTAACCTTGTTGCTCAGGAAATAAACAGCAAGCTGTAGTTTGACAATTTGGGTTGATTACATATACAGTCTTCTGCGGTTGAGTATATGACATCCCTTTTTAATATTGCCACAACCATGTTTCTTTGGTCTTCGGCCAATTATCAGCAAATATAATCAACATTGACTTACCTTGGCTTATGGACGTAACCAAATATGTTGGATGATATTTCCTCATTTTGCCCAGTCGATACTGTTGCTAATATTTGTCAATTTTTACTGTCATTTTTTGTTATTTTAGATCTCCATCTCAATGTCCTCATCTCTCCTACACTATTTTTTTTTTTTGCATACATCAATTCTTAATTGTCCAACACTGCCATCCATAAAAGCACAGTTAATTTCTTGTCTAGTGAAATTTTCCTCCCATTTGAAGTGATTATCAATGGTTGCACAACATTTCAGATGTTTCTCACCATATTAATCAGTCCACAATAATTAGTAATATCTTAGTTTCCAAATTATCTTTAATTTTGAGTAAGTTTCTACTTTGTTATTAATTATTATGATGTAATGAAGTCATCAACAAGCAGTATCTATTATGGTACTTCATCATCGAGTTTCTCCATCACAAATGTTATTAGGTTTGAACTTAAGATTTACACCTGGCATGACTCTAGTATAATTGAGAATTCAGGCAATAGTCTTTTAGACAAATAAATAATATAAACTTCATCCTAGCAAAGCCAATCGCTTTGTTGATGTTGACGTTGCAATGTTGTGGGAATAACTTAAATAAATTAAATATGTTGTGGTTCTGAAGCAGAATCGGTCCTTAAAGTTGGTCAATGTGATGAAATGAGGATGACCACTATGAAATGGCTGGGTAGCTACCAGGCAACTAGTCAAACAGGAACCTAATCTACTTTTAGAACCCTGAAAATATGATTCCTAATAGCGAACAAATTGTCTAAGCAATACTGCATAGACTCTAGACACTAAATAGACTCTTAGGTAACTTGTTGTCTTCAGTCATTGGTTGCTAGTCTATCATAAATTGTCTGATTCAGTAACATGTTGGGTTCGACTTCCAAGCTACAATGTTGATGTGGTCATTGATTATTATGTATAACTCAGGATCCTTGCATCACCAATGACCCTGCCCAGGTTGGTCATATGTTGCCAAGTCATTGGGAATTCTGACTCTTAGCAAAATTAACTTTATACTTTGAGGCTTCAGAGAGAAAAATACAAATAGAGCAGCCCAATGCACGAGACTTCTATCAATATGGGGCCTGGGGTTTGACATGTAAAACCAGTAACTTATTGTTACAAAAATTGTTTCCATGTCATATAGCTGCAGAATATGCTAAATTGCTAGCTATAATGAAAAGATTGATGCTAATCCTTTTATGCTCTTACATCTTTAGAGTGAAAAACAGCTTGCATGATAGGCATGTCCCCGTCACTGTATCTATTTGCATTTAGAGTGGAAAACAGCTAACCTACTGACATGTAACTATGTCAAAAATCAGAATTGCCTTTCCGGAATAATAGTTGCCTTATATGTTAAAATGACATGTAACACCATGCACATATCTGATCCATATGCCCTTCTATTAGTATTTCTTTGCCTCAAAATGCCTTTTGCTTTCCTACCATCCATCCTGAAGTTTTATTTACATGAGCTTTTATTTACTTTGTTCTGGCATCATAGCCTTTTATAACCATTGGTGTTCTATCTAAAACATTTATAAATTACGAGTATGTGATGTGGTTATAATTCTATCAGTCTAATTGCTTTCCTATATTTGGTAGTTCTTGGAGAAGGATTTTATAGTTTAATTGTTCATGCATTCAAGTCTTCTTGTGCTTTAGGAGAGAGCTGCTGCAGCTGCAGCCTCAGATCCTTACCGCTATGTCGAGAAACGAAAACCCATTCCTGATCCTCAGGTAGTCTCTTTTGTCTTTAGAAATGAGGATGTGTTATTTATGGGGACCTTTTTCATATATATTAGCGCCAGAAGACTGGTTTGATATGTGAATAATGGTCGTTCCTCCTGTACGCTCAGGAAACTGGTTTGATATATGGGAAGAGAAAGGAAACCAAGAGCTCTGGGAACTGATTCATCCGAAAACACCGATATCTAGTCACGGAATCTTCTGCACTTTGACATCAATGAATCTTATTTCAGGCAACTTCTTGCTTAGCTTAAAGCTAAAAACTTTTTTTTGTTGGAAGTGCCATAAACTGTTGCACTGATACCTCCATAGACATTCATGACTGTGTATGTTGTTGTATAGATAAATAAAGAGCAATCCTTTTGGTTTTTCTGCCCTTCATGCATGCCTTTCTGCTTGTCAAGCTTCTCAAATTTGATCTCATTTTTGTCATGCATGCAGGATAGATGAATCTTCTGCCGATTCGTATGTCTGCCAAGACAAATTGTTTGTACATCTCTCATACAACTCTGACTCAATTTCCATTGAAACTTAGATCAGACTGCCTTTCTTACATCCTGCAGATTGTTCACAAAACCACATACCAAATACAATCACTGACCACCACTCATTGCATCTCTTCTTCCACAGTCCACTAATTCGGCAGCTTCAGCCATCAGATCTGATCCAGATCATATGTTTTTATCCTTAGTGAAATGGTGATTAGGTTGAGATCCTCTAAAGAACTTTGTCCTATTGCCCAATTTCAGATCAAACAGAACTGATTCCCATGCAACAGTTGCCAACCATCACTTTTGATCCTCCACTAGGGTAGAAGAAACACCCATGGATACCCATCAAGCTCAACCCCTCTTCTTCCCCTCTCTCATCACACTCAAAGATTTAAAGTTTCATCTCTCCTGTTCCTCAAAAATTTATTATTTTTGCCTAGCATCCATTGATGTAGGATCTGTATAGAAAGAAAATGAACTCATAATGAACCTCTGATGTAGTAAAATATTTTCTTTTTCTTGACATGTAGAGATGAATAACTTTGCTAGTTCTGAACGGTCGCGTAACTACGCATCTCGACCATTACGGATTTTGATTTTTTTTTTTTTGATCTTTTTTAATCTAAACTTTTTTTAGGGTTTGGCATCTTGTGGGGTCCGAATCCTTTTATGTGTGGCCCTAATCATAATTTACAGCCGACCAAATTAAACAATGCAATCTGCCTATGTTCATATGCTTACACCACCAAAAGTGAGCACTTTGAGAGAACCCTCCCAACATTAGCTCATGGATGGCGACCGGCAACCGAGGAGCACGCCATCATTTCAATCCCCATAAACAAATCACCGATCGACCTCGCTTAAAGTCAAGGCCGGTTGGAGTTATCGATACGGGGATGGAGAGGAGCTGTGCTGTGTGGGTGAATGCAATGGATTGGATCGAGGAGCACGACGAGAGCGGGCGGGCGATGGGACGCACATGGCCGGCTTCCGACAAGACAAAGCGCCGCGCTGCTTATTCTATGCTCCTCACTGCATCACCTGCCCCCCTCCCCCTCCCCGTGCTTTCGGCCCCATGGGATCAGAGTACGTGGATGCTCGAGCCATGTCGGCCTCGATCACGACATCGATCTTGGTGGCTCTCCGTCCTCAACACCTGTCATCTTTGGGGCTTTTCATCAAACAGGTGGTGACTTCTTGTTGGCCTCCAACCCCAGAGTTACAGTCTGTCACACAAGCTACAATATTACTGGGACACATGAAAGCACCCACCAGGACGGAAGCATCACTCTACAGTCACAAAGAACTGATCCCCATGCTTTCTCTTACCAAGATCTGAAGGTATGCTTTGGCATCAATGGCTTTCGGAAAGGCCCTCATGTTGTATTAGATTCTGCAGACACATTAATTTAGTACCCCCCTACAAGGCTATGTAAGAAGACTAGGAATCTGTCAATTTATCTGCATACATTTAGTACACATCTGAATTGAAAACCTAAGACTGGAATCATTTATGCATCACATAAATCTAATGATGCATCACATAAATCTAATGCAGCTGAGCATCTGAGGTCAGATAATGCAAGCAGCATTCTCTTATTTATTCTTCATCTGTGATATTGTATCCTTTTATGTGATTGAGGAAACCTAAGACTGGAATCATTTATATGAGTAATTATTCCATGAGGAGGCCATACACTCTTCTCATCAATGATTACATCATTTCCGTCACACTCATCAAACCCTCTGTGAGAGATTATGACATTATGGTTGCATTCTTTGGACATCTAATAATAAACTGAGTCTGCATTATGCTTTCTCAATACATGAACATGTATGAAAGCAGCTCTCTCTGTTTCATATTGAAGGAGTTCGATCCATCGACGCATTCCAGCCGAGTTGGTTTCTTCGTCAATCTTCTCTCTGTTTCACATTTCTCACTTTTATGACTACGATTAACTTAGATCTTACTAAATCGATCCAAGACTCCTATATATTCGTAATTTCTTGAGTTGTTCTGAAGCTCGAGTTAGTAGCTGACTACTAGATTAACACTGTATTTGAAATGGAAGATTAAAGACTGCATCTTGAGTTGTTTGGTGTTTGGAAATCTTCAAGATCATTTACTTTATGGCTACAGGCTGGAGAAGGGAGGAGAGAACCGAGAGCAGGGCGTCCTCCTCCTCCTCCAGTAATGGCCACCGCAAAGCGAAGCTGTTGACCCGCTTCCATGACCGACCGACACGTGTCCGACAGCTGCACGGCCGACAGCGGCATTCCTTTGACCACTTGACTACATGTGCTTGATCTCATCTCACACCCTCTCTCTCTCGCGCGCGCGCCCTATCTGTCGTCTTCCCCAGCAGAAGAGACTTCAGATGAGCATGTAATCCTTCCTCGAAGATGCAAGCTTTGATGTGTAATGGTGAGGAATATTGTTGCTTGATAAGATCATGCTTGCCGCCTTCTAGTTCTTTCATTGATGCGTCGCACAGTAATCTCGCAGCCTTAAATGGAACAGCAGATGGAATCGGCAATCCTCCCAACATTATAGGTCAGTGGAAAGAGATGACCTTGTCGTTGCCACCCATGGATAGCACCTTCAACCTTCCATCTATGTGTTAGCATGACATGATAACATGGTAAAAGAATACCCATTACCTTACATTGTACGCAAATAAAGGCTCTCAAGTCCATATAATATACCCTTCTTTTATGGCCATTAAACTATGACTTCCTCCATCTTTGCATACAATAAGTTCCACAAGATAGTCCAATCCGTCATTGTCTCTCTCTCCTTCTCAACAAATAGCCATTGCATCCATCCTTTCTTTCCTCCTCTCAGAACCCACCTTCCATCCACAGCTCAGCTCTGAGACCACCGTTCGTCCTCTTCTTGGATTCTTGACGGCATCATCATGGAGAAGCATTCTCGAGTGGTTGCTTGGCTTTTGTAGACCAACACCAACCTTAAAGCAGATCTGTATGGTAAAACAGATTGCAGCTTTTGATGGTGCTGTCAGGAGACAAGTCTACTCTTGATGTTACCGGAGATTACACCGAGTAAAAGGTGGTAGAACACACAATCCTCATCTCGGTTTCTATTGCTTTTGTTTCTGAGTCTTCTTCCAAGTGGTTTCGATCTGTTCCGACAACGAAGAAGACGAGGAAAGATCTCAGCTTTGGCTTTGGGTTGAGGGGTAAGTCTTTGGACGGTAGAAGATTTGAAGAGAAGAGGGTAATAGGTGAAGAGGGGAGAAGCGAAGCTGGCAAACAAGTGGTGGGAGAGAGTCGATGTGTCCACTATGGCCGGGATGGAATCCGGCAGCGGAAGCGGCGGTAGCGGAGGCTCTTCGCGTTACCTCCACCACCTCCTTTGCCCGCCGCCGCCGTCGACCCACGTCCCGCCGCAGGATTCCAAGCCATCCCCGGAGAAAAGCCCCAAGGTCTCGCCCGACCACGGCGGCGGCGACCAGCCGTCTGACTCCTCCCCGGCGGGTGCATCCGGGGGCCCCGTCCGCCGCCCCCGCGGCCGCCCGCCCGGCTCCAAGAACAAGCCGAAGCCCCCGATCATAGTCACCCGCGACAGCCCCAACGCCCTCCGCTCCCACGTGCTCGAGGTAGCCAGCGGCGCCGACGTATTCGAATGCGTCTCCGACTACGCTCGGCGGCGGGGGCGGGGCGTCTCCGTCCTCAGCGGCACCGGCGCGGTCACCAACGTGGCCCTACGCCAGCCCGGGGCGTCGACGCCCGGGAGCGTGGTGGCGACGCTCAGAGGCCGATTCGAGATCATCTCGCTGACGGGGACCGTCCTTCCTCCTCCGGCCCCGCCAGGCGCCGGGGGGCTGTCCGTGTTCCTCTCCGGAGGACAGGGACAGGTGATCGGAGGCAGCGTAGCAGGGCCGCTGGTGGCGACGGGGCCGGTGGTGCTGATGGTGGCGTCCTTCACCAATGCGGTTTACGAGCGGCTGCCACTGGAAGGCGACGAGGAGGAGGCGGAGGCTGCGGTGCAGGGTCAGCAACCGGCGGTCTCGCAGTCCTCGGGCATTACCGGAGGCGGCGGTGAGGGCGGGGGCAGCGGCGGCACCAGTGGCGTCCCATTCTATAACCTAACTGGGAACATGGGGAGTTACCAGCTTCCCGGTGATGCCTTTGCATGGGGCGGTGGCGGGGTTCGGCCACCCTTCTAATTCTTCACAGACAAGCTTTCTACTCTTCTGCCTGATTTATAATACCCATTGCTGTTAGAGAAAGAAGAAGAGAAGCTTCCACTCTTCTTGTTGGTTTGTGTGTGATGTTACAAGATGGTTTCTCGGAGGAGCTCCTCAATGTGCAATCACAGAGGGAAGTCATTACATTTACTACTACCTCAGAAGCTTTCTGGTCTGATGCTGGAATCCAAGAGAAGTCGGAGTCGAAGGTAATGAGAAGGAAGACCAGATTGGATGATGGGATATCTGCCAAGGTGAGTGGATTCAAAGTCCATTCCTAGATGTTACTTCAGATTGATGACTCCTCTTGTTTTCTTCTCCGCCATTCAATGTCATGTACTTCTGTTTGATTTCAATTGCTAGATTTGGTCTCCATATATATCATATGGGATTTGAACTCCTGAAGAAACACAGCTTCCAAATATTTTAGTGTCATCTATGCATGTGGATTTTGTAGTTAGATAGATTTACTAGTCAATGTTAGAGTGAGAGTGTTGGTGAAGAGAGTATGAAGTGCAGTTCTTTATTCAGTGTGCACATATAAGACAGGCTCACATGAAATATTAAAGCAGATGGAGAGATTCTCATCATCTGCTTCCATTGTTTTTATCCCTATACTGCACTGTAAGAGAGAGAAATAGACTGCATGATTACTGAAATTTTGATAGCTTTATCATCTAAAACATATTATATACATGTGTGTGTAATCTCTCAATTTTCTACACCATATTAACCTTGTAATAATACCTACTTACATGTTATACAGCTATCTTTTAAGTGGCTTTCCATTATCTATGAACTCAAGCAAAGCAGATAGTATTGTTATATCTGAGCTCACTGTCTGCTATAGCAGCAACTTGACTAGATATCCTCTTGCATACTTGCATGGGCCATTCTCTCTCTCTCTCTCTC